CAGGCATTCAGACTGCAGAAACGTTTTGTGCAGGAACTGTGTGCATTTTTGTGCACAGACGTTCGAAATTGAGGGAAAATTTTTTTTTGGCATCAGTGTAAAAATTTTAAGAGATTTTAAAATCGGTAAATTACAATAACTGATTCTATATTCTTTCTAGATAAAAGCAGCGTTTATTTCGTTCGTTTATCACAAAAATTGTAGAAATCACAGCATTTTGAGTAACATGATTACAATTTTTATTACTCTAGAGTGGCGGGCATTTAAATTAACTCCGTCCCGCTACCACTACCGGAATTTAAATGGCCGTCTCTTAAAGGTTAATTTGTGTATACCATTATACACCTGATACATATCAGGATTTTTGTGTACAAACAAGACTATGGAATATATATATAAACAGGGGACAGTAAGTATGCCCGTTGTCTTAAAGCCTTCCCTACATGAACTCCTTGGCTCTAATCTTAACAAGACTCTTAATGCTCTTTTTTGTACAGTACATATACTTTTCATTGAAGAAGAGCCCCAAAAAATGATACCGTAATTAAGTTGAGCCTGCACATGAGAAAAGTAAACAATACATAAAACTTGTCCACTCACCATAGGCTGCAATTTTCTAAGCATGTAAATTGCAGTGCTTAATTTTTTTATTAAATTATCCGAATATTGTTTCCACTTGAGATGACTGTCAAGGCACACACCCAAGAAATTAACACTTTCATCAATATTAAGAACTTGATCGTTATATTCCACATGTAATGGATAGTCCATGGTCATAGGCGTAGTAAATTTAATTACATGAGTCTTCTTTAGATTAAGGACTAATTGATTATTTGGAAACCATTCATAGATATGATTCATTATTTTATTTATTTTATGATTCAATGTGGTGATGTCTTTAGAGGAAACAATAATGGTGGTATCATCGGCGTAAAGAATGGTAGGAGCCAAACCATCTAGACTACTTGGCAGGTCGTTAATGTAAATATTAAATAGTAATGGTCCCAAAACAGAACCCTGGGGAACACCAAGTCTGCAGGTTACACATCTAGAAAGAAAGGTGGTTGAGTCATGAGTGTGTAATACAGTTCTCTGTTTCCTATTATGTAAATATGATTTGAGCCATTTCAAAATACATCCTTTAATACCATAATTTTCTAACTTTTGGATTAGTAGGTTGTGCTTGACACAATCAAAAGCTCTTGTAAGGTCACAAAATACACCTACCACCAGTTTGTTGTTATTATGAATTGAAGAAGCATAAGCCATGGTTCAATGAAGGATGCTCAAAGTTTTTACATCAAAGGTTACAAGCCAATTGTAGTGGTTACAGGATCAAAGTAAAATAAATGGGGATAATCTCAGCAATATAAGATGTGAAACCAGCAGGCATTTCAGGAATAAAAAGAGGGAATATTTGAAAGACAAATGAACAAGAAGGACAAGAACATTAGAGACCTGTTTAGAGGAATAAATGACTTCAAGAGGGGTTACCAGCCTAGCAGTAACTTAGTAAAGGATGAGAATGGTGATCTGCCTGCAGATTCCCACAACGTTTTGAAGAGGGAGAAGAATAACTTCTCTCAGTTATTGAATGTACATAGCGTCAGTGATGTTAGGCACATAGAAATACATACAGCTGAGCTGTTAGTACCTGATCCTAGCCTTTTTAAGGTTGAAGTTGCTATTGCTAAGTTGAAAAGGTATTAATCACCATGTAGTGATCAAATTCTAGCAAACTCATTCAAGCAGGAGGTGAAATATTACATTCCAAGATTCATCAGCTAAGTAATTCTATTTGGAACAAGGAAAAATTCCATGATCAGTGGAAGGAGTCCGTCTGTTATTGTACCAGTTCACAAGAAGGGCGATAAAACTGAGTGTAGTAAATATTGTGGGATATCACTGCTATCAACTTCATACAAAATTTTATTCAATACTCTATTCTCAAAGTTAAGTCCATATATATATATATATATATATACGAAATTATTGGGGATCATCAGTGTAGGTTTAGACATAACAGATCAACTCCTGATCAGATATTTTGCATTCATCAGATAATGGAGAAAAAATGGGAGTACAATGAAACAGTACATCAGCTATTTATAGATTTCATGAAAGCCTATGATTCAGTCAGGAGGGAAGTATTGTACAATATTCTCATAGAATTTGGGGTGCCCATGAAACTAGTTAGGCTAGCTAAAATGTGTCTAAACAAAACGTATAGTAAAGTCTGTTTAGGTAAACAGTTGTCTGATAATATTCCTATCCAGAATGGTCTAAAACAAGGAGATGCTTTATTGCCACTGATTTTCAACGTTGCTTTAGAATATACCGTTAGGAAGGTCCAGGGAAACCAAATGGGACTAAAATTAAGTGGGACACATCACCTGTTGGTGTATGCTGATGACTGGAATCTACTGGGTGATAATATAGATACCATAAAGAAAAACACACAAATTTTGTCACTAGTAAGGAGACTGGTCTAGAAGAAACACAGAGAACACTAGTTAGTTAGTTAGTTAGTNCTAGCAGTAACTTAGTAAAGGATGAGAATGGTGATCTGCCTGCAGATTCCCACAACGTTTTGAAGAGGGAGAAGAATAACTTCTCTCAGTTATTGAATGTACATAGCGTCAGTGATGTTAGGCACATAGAAATACATACAGCTGAGCTGTTAGTACCTGATCCTAGCCTTTTTAAGGTTGAAGTTGCTATTGCTAAGTTGAAAAGGTATTAATCACCATGTAGTGATCAAATTCTAGCAAACTCATTCAAGCAGGAGGTGAAATATTACATTCCAAGATTCATCAGCTAAGTAATTCTATTTGGAACAAGGAAAAATTCCATGATCAGTGGAAGGAGTCCGTCTGTTATTGTACCAGTTCACAAGAAGGGCGATAAAACTGAGTGTAGTAANATTTTCAACGTTGCTTTAGAATATACCGTTAGGAAGGTCCAGGGAAACCAAATGGGACTAAAATTAAGTGGGACACATCACCTGTTGGTGTATGCTGATGACTGGAATCTACTGGGTGATAATATAGATACCATAAAGAAAAACACACAAATTTTGTCACTAGTAAGGAGACTGGTCTAGAAGAAACACAGAGAACACTAGTTAGTTAGTTAGTTAGTTAGTTAGTAGAGAGTGTGGGTTTCCCCATGCACTTAGACCTGTATTGGTCCAGTGTGCTTCCCTCTATGATTTCTACCAGTCTCTATATCCTAACAGTACTGGTGCTTACCATCAGTCCCGCCCAGCCAGCGAGACCAGCTCTACTTGCTGAGAGGTATCTATAATGCTTCCCCCATCTACCAGAGGTATTAGAGACTGCTGTTGTGCGGGAAATGTCCATAATTTGGCTCAGTGGCCTCCTTTGGAGATATGAGGTTCTTTTACGTGCCGTAAAGCTACGACACGGGACCCACGGCTTAAAGTCCCTCCTGGAGGACTTGTTCCCTGAATTTTTCCGCCCTTAAAAATTCGACGACCTCCGCCAGGTATTTGAACCCGCGTACTACAAGTCATGCGGTGGGAACGTTACCTCTAGACTATGGAGGCCGCTTAGTCAGAGAACACTAAGTATATGTTGCTGTCTCATCACCAGAATGCAGGTCAAAATCATGCATAAAGATAGGTAACAGATGTTTTGAAAATGTGTCACAGTTCAGATATTTGGGAATGACTATAACAAATCGAAACTTGATTCAGGAGGAAATTAAGAGCAGATTGAATTCAGGTAATGCTTGCTACCGTTCAGTCCAGAGGCATTTGTATTCTCATCTGCTGTCTATAAACATTAAAATTAGAAAACACAAAACTATAATTTTGCCTCTGGTTCTGTATGAGTGTGAAACTTGGTTTCTGACATTAAGGGAGGAACATAAACTGAGGATGTTTGAGAACAGTGTGTTGAGGAGAATATTTGGACTGAGGAGAGATGAAGTGCCAGAAGGTTGGAGAAAACTGCATAATGAGGAGCTTCATAACTTCTAGCCTTCTCAAAGTATAATTAGAATGATCAAGTGAAGGACGATGAGATGGGCAAGGCATGTAGCACAAATGGCGGAGAAGAGGAATGCATATAGGATATTGGTGGGAAAGCCGGAAGGAACACCACTGGGAAGTCCAAGACATAGGTGGGTCAACAATTTTAAAATGGATCTCAAGAGAGACAGGATGTGATTGATCTGGCTCAGGATAGGGACCAGTGGAGGGCTCTTGTGAACATGGTAATGAACCAGCAGGTTCCTTAAAATGCTGGAAAGTTCCTGAGTAGCTTCTCAAAAAGGGCTCAGCTCCATGAGTGAGTGAGTGAATGGCTGTGCCTATTGCACCACATGCATTCAGAGGACACTGTAACATTTCAGCATTCAGCAGCACCAATTCAATAGCCTATCTGTATATGCTACAGGAGGCATCAACATCCTGAAATGGTTGAGTAATATGATTTTCATACCTCCCTGGAAGTGGAGGCTTGGGAGGTGGACTGGTGTCATTGAGTATGGACTCCGAGCTCTGCGAATGTGGCAGGGAACTGTAGCCATGCCTGTCCAACACAGATGAAGACGTCTGCTCCAAGATCTGCCGTTCACGTGGAGTAAGGGGAATGTCAGGGAGAGAGCTGCGCTGGGGAATATCAGCAGCATAACTGGAGGTATGATCCACTATCATCATATGATGATTGTGACTGCTCAGTGCCTTGGAACTACTCTCACGGTTTGCAATCTGATCTTGAGCCAATGAAACAAGATTCTGAAAGAGAAGAGAGTGTAAATATACATGTCATTGAGGCTGCAAAGGATGCTCAGTTGCTGCTATTACTGTTACCTGCACAGCATCCTCCAGCAGCTGGATCATCTCAGTGACATTCTCCTTGTCCAAGGCCTTCTCTCCCTGCAGTAGTACATCATCACACAACTTGATAAGCTTTGCGAGGCTTTGGTACACTTTGTTCGTTGCAGAAACCAGCGTGGAACTGAAAGGTAAGTGTCAAGTTCAAGCATAGGGACACTCTCACATTCACAATGCACATTCATACACTCACACCCACCTGTGTTCGTTGAGGACATATGATTTGAGCACGCCATGGATTGTCGTCACAGTTTCCAGAACTATGGTGCCGTTACCCGCCAGCATTTCCAGCTTCTTCTTCGTTATCACATCATGAAAATGCTTCAGGGCAAATTGCACCTATTCCAAAAAGCCTCAAATTACTTCATGAACAACAAACAAACATGGAATGCTACCAAATTCAAGATTGTTTTCACCTCCTTCTTGTAAATAATGCTGTAATTAAGATGGAATTTTTGGTGCAGAGGCTTTATTGTTTTTAATTAGTTTGTTCGACCTTCATCAGACACTCTGCTCTATGACACAAGTAATTATTAATTGGGAATATTTCTCTTTCTGTGGTCTCCAGATTCCCACACAGTAATTTCCAGCGTTCTGATACACATCCATCCAGAAAGAAGGTAACAGACTAGTCTTTCCATTGATCTATATTTATTTACCTATTGATCCAATATTATTCTCTACCAGCCACTAGTTAGTACTATGAATATGACAGTGTCAGTGTAGGAGGGTATACGTGACGAAAATAACGGGTTCTAGTTTGGATGATTGGATCTGATAGCCCCTTGGTTACAAGCTCTCTTAATCACATTTAAATACAGCAATTCTGAAACAATGCACCTGTTTCACGTGTAGATCCAGGTCTCGCAGAGGATTCTTTTCTGTGGCGCCATCGACCGCATCAACGCTTGCAACCTTGTGGCCGGTACGGGTCTTGGGGGAGTGGGGGGACCCAGAGCGCTGCCCGGACCCACTGCCCGGGGACCGCATCTGCGACAAGATCTCCAGGAAATCCTCCTTGAAAGAGCGGGCCCGCCGTGCCAGCTTTCCCCCACGTGGCTTTGTGTTTGATGTGGTGCTAGTTTCTGATTCTGCAACAAAAACATGTTTCATAGTTTTTCTCAGTCAAATTACATGAAATGTGGGCTCCTAGTATCTCAAACTAGCCAACATGCTTACCACTGTCTATCAATCCAAACAAGATGGTAATTATACCCTTTACTAGGAGTAGGAATATCAAGGGGCTTAAGGAACCAATCCTCTTCAGTCAAGCAATCCAGCTATCCAGTGAAGTCAAGTACCTTGGGCAAGGCTATTAAGAAGGCCTATAAGGCCTTCTGAACATGCAGAGGCACATTTGGGAAAACCTGGGGACTGAAACCCAAGGTGGTGTATTGGATACACACTTCTGTAGTAAGACCCATAATTACCTATGCTGCCACTATATGGTGGCCTAGAGTTAAACTTGAAACAAGTCAGGCTGAACTAAGCATATTGCAAAGGACAGCCTGCTTGGGAATTACGGGAGCAATGAGAACAGCTCCAACAGCTGCAATGGAAATCCTACTAGGACTCCCCTCACTGCACCTGCAGATGGAAGCAGAGGCCAAGTTAGGAAATTACAGATTACGTTGCAATGATCAATAGAGACCTAAATCTGAAAGTTTTTGACATGCATACATGAGTCAGAACATGAAAAATGAACCAATCTTACAGATGGGATCTGAAAAAATGATACCGAAACATGTCTTTGATAAACCCTTCACCATCAGATTTCCTGACAGAAGTGAATGGAACGAGGGAGACTAATCTGGTATACAGATGGTTCCAAGGCAAATAACGGCACTGAATCAGGAGCGTATTGTGATGGAACAGGGCGGAAACGTAGTTTCGGCCTTGGTCAATACACACCAGTATTCCAGGCAGAAGTGTATGCCATTAAGGCATCCACAGTTTAGAATCTAAATAGGAACTATAGAAATAGGAACATCTATATTCTATCAGATAGTCAAGCTGCAATCAACGCACTTGGTACATACCAAATCACTTCAAAATTGGTTTGGGACTGCCACCAATCCCTCACACAACTGGCCAAACACAACAGAGTACAACTGATATGGATGCCAAGTCATGAGGGTACTGCTGCTAATGAAACCGCAGCTCAGCTGGCAAGAACAGGACCTGAACCAGCTTGCGGCATCTCAGTAGGAGAGTATTGCTGGGAATGAAACTGCAAATCAGCTGGAAAGAACAGGATCTGAACGGACGTTCATAGGAGCTGAACCAGCCTGTGGCATCTCAATTGGAGTTGCCAAGATAGCAAATCAGGGACTGGACTAACAGAAATCACAAAAAACACTGGGAATCCACAACTGGACTCAAACAGGCAATAGGATTTATATCCGGACCTTCTGCCAAAAGATAGAGGGACCTGTTAAAAGTTAAACAGAGATCAACTCAGATGGGTGGTAGGATTACTTACTGGACACTGCCACCTAAAAGGGCACCTTTTCAAACTGGGGCTGACAGATGACCCAACTTGTGAAAGGTGCCTACAAGAAGATGAATCACCCACACACATCCTATGTGATTGTGAGGCTATAGCTTACCTACGATATCGCCACCTGGGTCAGTTCTTCATGGAACCAAGTGACTTTTATGACGCCCCCATAAATAAAGTCCTACATTTCATTCGAAGTGTAGGATTAATAAAGGGTTAATCCAAAGGGGAAGCACAATAGATCATTGAAGGTCGCAGTGCGACGGCCGGTTTCTATGGCTCACCCCTTATACTCACACTCAACATGCTTACCATGTCATTCTGTTGAACAACTTCCACATACATCATTATCAATTAGCCAGGGAATAAATAAGACAGACAAAGAAATCTTCAGATTTCAGAACAACAACACTATCATAACCCTGATGGCCAAACTTTGAATATGCACTGCCTTAAGAGCCTGAAATCTCACAGCTACCATTTTGTTTCACATTCTACAAGAAAAACAACAAAACAAAAGCTGAACATTTTTTGAAGACCTATTACTATACATCATTTCTGGGTCACATACTAAGAGCGCCCTGTGTTGTTCCCACCTCAGAAGTTCGCGCATCTGCTATGTTGTTAGTACCAACTAACTGAAGGTACTCTCAAATTTATGAAGAGAGACATGTGGTCTGTTGGTATGTCCAGACGTGTTCATGTTAACTTCAGGCACTGCACTCTTGTTTCACGATCAATACACAAGTGTTTATAATTTATTTCTCTATGTCTTCAAACTTCACATGCTTTCTGTAGTTGCCTAACTTCTCTGTTGAAGAGTACTGTCTTCTAGCATATAATGCCGTGTGGTCCGTTGCAAAGTAACCGACGTTTCGGAGGAACATATCGCTTCCATCTCAAGGGTTGAATAATCATACATTCGGTACAACTTCTTGGGTGGGGGATCAGCCCACCTCAAGGCCACTACCTACACATGGCAACACAAATACAGAATACACGCAAACATCCATGCCTCGAGGTGGATTCGAACCCACGACCCCAGTGTTTGAGTAGGCGAAAACAGGATCATGCCTCTGACCGCGCGGCCAGTGTGTTCTGCCTATCTCAGGTTATACGCCATCAAATGCTGACTGATGAAAGATGAATTGTAAAGGATTTAGAAGGAAACAATCACCACATTTACCATCCTGGACTGACAAAAATCCTGAAAAGCCTTGGCCACGACAGTCGGTGACCCCGCCGAGATTCGAAGCGAGCGCCTCCGGATTACAGGCGTAGAACGTTATCACGATGGTGTGCACTGCATTTTCCTCAAGTGCCGGACTGGCGTGAGCACGGTGATGAATCTTCCGGGTCCCTGACATGATTAGTCCCTCCAGGGAAAATTCCTAGATAGTGGCTCAATTAGGCCACGACCGCTTCCTTCCATATCCTTTCAAATTCGTCATTCGCTTGGCATCGTATCACTCGACGCCATATTGTTTGGGCTGCTGACACCTTTCACCGAAACATACACAAACACAGAACTACCAGCCCTTACAATGACGCGTATTCGTGCCAGGGCTGAGTCACTGGCGATAAGTGAACGGCAAGGCCGAACATAACACGGCTCGTTTGGTAACAGCGCCTGCCTCCGAGGGACCTGCCGTTTAATATACATGGCGATCCTGGGCACCGGACTTTTTCACAGCTGAGGTGGGGGAGGGGCAACAACAATATTTGCTTACAAACTTACATTTCAGCCGTTTACGCAAATTGTTACGGATCGCCCTAAAGTTCTTCGTCTCCAACAGAGACACTGCCTTCAAGAGCCCTTGGTATTAACATCTGCTACACTTCCTTCTTTTTCAATTTGATTTGTTCCTATAACGTGAGGGCGGAGGGGGGGGTCCTGACTGCCCCACCCCACCAGGCGAGAGATATCCCGTGTGTTTACTACGAGGTACGAACTGAATCTGTAAGTAATATTTACATGAACTTCAGGTTTCACTGGGTTCCGACTAGTTACCTTATAATGCTAACTTACCTCAATTAGTTTACGTTTCCTCTTTGTATGTCCGATTTCCTATCGGCATTTACACACTATTTCAGCTGAAACTAAATAAACAAGGACTGAACCGGTCCCGTGACGACACGAGGACATCCGTCACAATTCCCCCACATTTCTAAAATATGCGTTCTTCTCGCTGTGAGGGTGTGCCCCGGTCCACCTGTGGTTCCAGCCGTTCCGTCAGTCAAACCTACCTACTCACATCTCACGGCTTCACTTCACACTCAGCACTAACGCAGCTTCCACGGACTCGTTGGTATCTTACATCAATGGAGACTGACTTCCTGGGCACCCCGCCCCACTGTGCATCATGTGTCGCGTCCCACGTCACTTCCCCGGTGACGTCACATCAGTTGAAAAAACAACCTTACAGAGAAATAGGAGTGGGAGGCCCTGGAGGAAACCTCGATTAAGTTAAGCCACACTGGCCGCTGTAATGTGAGGCACTGAGGAAAACCTCGGTTGGCCTGTAGACAACGAGCAGTGCACAAATGCCCTTCTTAACAAGCCCAAATCGACACGCAAACCTCCGCTTTATGCATTATTTCTTGCGCAACCAAAAACATTCATTTTTAAACGACGGTGTCTCAGATGTTCATTGTGGAAATATCCGAGTTCACTGTCTATCTGAATGTTTATTTTACGACGCTGCATGAACTACAAATGCTGTTGTATCTCTCGCCATAGCACTTCGCACGAGTTCCGCTCTGTTGCTTGGAATCGTGCTACACAAGCAGGCACAACTCGCATATCTGCCAACCAGTGGTCCACGAACAGGAGCCCGTTCTAAGTCGAATAATGGAAAAGAAAGGCCACCTCCCAAGCACGGACAACAGCTGTGAATCAACGGAGACTTAAACTGCACTGTCCAAGTAGTCCTCAGGCGGTAAGAGGTCAAGATGTCCCTGTACTCAATTCATTATCATGCCATGAAGACGTACGGGGGAGTGGAGGCATAACCTCGGCACCACATGGAGGTGACTGGTCAGCTTCACGGGCAGGCCGCTTAACCCCTACTGTTTCCGGAACCCATCAGATAGGAGGCTTGGTGGCCTGTCTGGCAGCTGCGGAGAAAAAAAAACTCCTACCCCTGCCAGGTATTGAACTCCAATTCCTCGGCTGTCTAGCGCCCGTAGCTATACTCACACTTTTTCCTATTTTTTTTTTTATCTCTTCCGGGGGGCGCTGGTTTGTCTACCCTCCCTTCCCTCTGTCGGCACCCATCAGCCTTGCTACAAAATTCCTGCACGGGTAAGAAGCATTGCCTGCTCGTACGTGTAGGTGGAAAGGAAAGCATTCGCATAAAGTGACTGTGGAGAACCTGGAATCCTCTTATCCATACGGTCGGTCCGCAGTGTAGGACAGAATCAATCTCCTCTGTCTGCCTGTTTCGTTATCCACTAGGAACATGACGCTTCTGACGGGAATTTGCACTACAATCTGGCAACCACATATTATTCTGATCATTCCTCGGCCTGTAACAGGCGAAACTCAAAAAATCTGCCGTCGCATCTTTCAAATCAATGATCAGTGTTGCCACTACGTGCTACATGCTCGTTTTAGAACAAAAAGGGAGGGCGGTGTGACGTAATATCACGAAGCGCGCGTTATTTCGGACAGGAGCCAAAATATGGCGTCTGGTTGGCACCGGTACTCGGTTCACATGCGCAACAATATTTACCTTTCCACAATATCATATCCAAACACCATGTCGTGAGAGCGTGATGGGGGTAAAGGGTTAACTTTTCATGCGTTATTATATGAGAGGTCAGACTTACGCCCCGGCGGCTCTAACCCTGGAACCATATGGAATGACGGTACCCTGCGCCTTATCACGACGCCATGCCGTGGGATTGGGGGGCGTGTAAGCGCAGTGACTCACACAATATGCAGTAATACTACCTGTACGAGCGACCGATTTTCACCAAACTAGGCAGCAGTAGGTCTCCCCGAATCCACATCTTTAAAAAACGTCGTGATACAGACGTTAGCGCTCTTGTATAGTCGTATTCGGGAGGCCCAGGGTTCGATTATTGACACAGAGTGACATGGTTGATGAGACAATCTCTCCAGGAACATTTGGGGATGACGCCTACTCCACGACCACCTCCTTTGTCATAATCAACCTACACTACTCAACGCCAACATGGCCGCTATGCGAATCTGGTGGGCTGTCAGCAGTGGCGGAGTGCTGATGTTATTTACGATGGTCCGGTCAGCAGAACCACTGATACCACGTGTATATGCACACAGAGCTGTCATTTCATCGAACTGATGAGCGTTGTTAACACGATACATAACAAATTTGCAGCAGGTCACGAATGAACGAGCAGTCTTTTACGTCAGTGTTTCGTTTTCGTCCTGTGAACACTGATATTTGATGTGGACACCTGTGTAATAACACTATGCAAAGGATGCGGTTTACGACTGAGTATTTGTACGTGTCATTCGTGGGGGATGGCGTTAAACGTCGGCCTCGACATTCTATTCGATAACACATCGGGGCTGGAAGGGGATACGGGAGAAGACGGGAAATTTACTAAAGCTTACATAAGAAATTTGGAATGTTACTCCGCTGATATGTAAATGCAAGCCAGTTTAACACGAACGTTACAAGATGGCAGCAGGTGCAGATCCTACCTTCGCCAGATTCCTCCGGATCGTTGCAAAGGGCTGACACGGCGAGCAACGTCGGGGTGAGGGCTATTGTAGAGTGGCCCTGCGTGACCTTATATCGGCGCCTGCCTCGCTCCGGCAGCGCAAGGAAGCCCTCATCGTACTGAGGCATGGCTTCGAACCCCCTACTAACACCAGAGCGTTTCGCCCAACACTAGCCACAGTGGACAGCACCGCGCTATTTCGGGCAGGCAGCCGTGTTTCGACACTCGGCCCATCAGAGCTGCCAAGTCTCTAGTCGCGAATATCCTTAAATATGTAGATTACATGGCGTAAAATTCACCCTATATTGTATAGCTGTCGGTATAGCGACAGGGCACGATAATTTGGGACTACAGAAGCTAGACTAGACTTTGGAGGCACCTAAAATCACAAGGTCCATCACTTCACGATCAGAGTGTGAGGAAGTGCTTGAAACCTGGTAACAAATGCTTCATGTCCGGCCAGTCTGCTAAGGCAGTACAGTGGGTCAAGGAAACGGAACAAGATGCGAGATAGACGCGGACTGACGTGACGGTCTTGCAGCTTAAGTAAAAGGTAAAGGTACCCCTGTAACAGGCCGTGGAGGCCCACAGGATTGTAAGACGTCGATGCTCCCACAACTTGTACACAATCGGCTCACAGATGGCGGTGAGGTCAGCTTACGCGCCGGCCGCCCTTTACCCCCCCCCCCCA